GTATTTTCAAAGACGCCGCAGTAAAACGAATAAACAGGTGCAAAAAACAATCAAACCATCAAGGTTTTAGGTACTGAAATCTACGAAAATACTAACTTTTTTATATATAATTCCACATGTAAATATTCTTATAACATTTACTTGCTTAGTCCTACATATAAAATTGTTTACTTTTATTTATAAGTACGTGAAAATAATTCTTAAAATGTGGGGTTAGAATAACAGCAAACGCATGTTTTACAAACACCTTTTTTTTAGTTATTATTTTATTTGAGTAAATTTAAATGGTAACAATGAATAAACAAAACATCAAGGATTTTATTTTTGTGCTTACTTTTGTTCTACACGTTTTCTTTTAAAGATTTCAGTACCTAAAAACGCCAGAAATTTCACTATTTCTCGGCCAGGAATATGGCCACCTTAGTACATAAATATTAGAAATTATAAATACGTGCACATTTTTTACGAAATTTGTAGATATATTTTTGTCGGACATTACAATTTTTGCTTATAAAAAATAAAAAACACTTTTCCATCGTGTGTTATTTTATCCGACATGTGGTAATCGATTTATCATACCCCGTGAAAATTCCTATTTCCAAATGTCGGACTGAAAAAACGCAGCTTGAAATTTGTCGGACAATACCATTTGACTGAATTAATTATTTACAATTAATTTTACTAAAAATTACCTATGTGGTAATTGATTTTCAATACCCTGTCATTTTGACATGTTTCGACCGGTAGACACGTCTATGTCGGAAGAATTTCTGTCGGACAAATTTAAATCGTCATTTGCAACAAAATTTCCGGTAACTTAAGCTAAAAAAAAAGTTGTGGTCTTGACTTTTCAAGACCCTGGGAAATTTCCATGTTTTTGGACTTTTCCTAGTGGAAAAGCGGAGGAATCGAGAAAAGTCGCAGAGGAAAAGTGTGGTAAACTCGTCAAAACAAAGCTCCTCACGAGTTATAAAGTATGTGGTAATCAACTTTCCAGGGGGGGCCCGTACTGTGGACTATAATTTTATTATCCACAATAAAAGTTATTTATATTGTGAATAAGTTTTTAATTCCTCAATCATTTGAAAAATCCNTATTATTTTATTTGAGTCAATTTAAATGGTAACAATGAATAAACAAAACAACAAGGATTTTATTTTTGTGCTTACTTTTGTTCTACACGTTTTACTTTTAAAGATTTCAGTACCTAAAAACGCCAGAAATTTCACTATTTCTCGGCCAGGAATATGGCCACCTTAATACATAAATATTAGAAATTATAAATACGTGCACATTTTTTACGAGATTTGTAGATATATTTTTGCCGGACATTACAATTTTTGCTTATAAAAAATAAAAAACACTTTTCCATCGTGTGTTATTTTTATCCGACATGTGGTAATTGATTTATCATACCCCATGAAAATTCCTATTTCCAACTGTCGGACTGAAAAAACGCAGCTTGAAATTTGTCGGACAATACCATTTGACTGAATTAATTATTTACAATTAATTTTACTAAAATATTTTACTAAATAAAATCAATTACCTATGTGGTAATTGATTTTCAATACCCTGTCATTTTGACATGTTTCGACCGGTTGACATGTCTATGTCGGAAGAATTTCTGTCGGACAAATTTAAATCGTCATTTGCAACAAAATTTCCGGTAACGTAAGCTAAAAAAAAAAAGATGTGGTCTTGACTTTTCAAGACCCCGGGAAATTTCCGTGTTTTTGGACTTTTCCGAGTGGAAAAGCAGAGGAATCGAGAAAAGTCGCAGAGGAAAAGTGTGGTAAACTCGTCAAAACAAAGCTCCTCACGAGTTATAAAGTATGTGGTAATCAACTTTCCAGGGGGGGCCCGTACTGTGGACTATAATTTTATTATCCACAATAAAAGTTATTTATATTGTGAATAAGTTTTTAATTCCTCAATCATTTGAAAAATCCCAATCCACTTTGTGCCGAAATTATCCAGAATAACGAGGTTATACGGTACTTCTAACAATAAATTATATAATTTTGTACGTTACCTTCAGCCCATCCCTTCAACATGGTATTTCCGGGCTTCTTAGTGTATATCCAAACCGAAGCGTTATCGCTACTCTCAACCACTTTCAACAAATCACATCGACTGGGTCTTACTTTCAGCTCTTTGGGGCCTGCTTGAAACTTGTTTCCGAGGTTGTCATGGAACGTAGCTCTAAGTTGAAATTCAGTGCCCAAGGGAATGTTCCTCATGGGGCTATCCGAGTGTATGCGCCAGTTGGCTAATACGTTCAGGTTCATGTACTGGATGGTTTTCACCTCGACGACAATGGACAGACGTTGTTTTTGTCCTTGGTCGTCCGTCTCTATGGCCATTATGAGAGCATGGCCCAGGACACCGTAGGATTTTAGAAAGCCGGTAGGCGATATGGTTATTATGGTATCTGAAGATGTAACGGATTTGTCTGCCAAGAGTTCTGTGGAAGGCACACGGTCTCCTGCTAACCTAAATTAATAATAATATTGTTTGAAACTATTTATGGCGTTTCTTAAATGCTTTTCCTTGTTTGGATATTTTGTCAGACCGTAAATTAAATTAAAAATTAAATAAATTTCATAAATTTTCAGTCAGAAGTTTTTTTAAAAGTGTTTCCCTCAATTTTTTTCTGTGAACGCCTATCTATGACTTTTATTTTTATTCTTTATATTTTTTCAGTCTTTCAAAACTTTTTTTTTAGATATATTACAGGTTTTCTTTTGTTGTACACTACATTCTAGAATTTGGCATTATTAAAAAAAATGTGTATTTGAACGTTTTAACTTTAATATTGGCAAAGTTTTAGTTACATGTATTTCTAATTTATTCCATCCAATTTGAGAAAGATAAATAACCTAATACTTGTATTTTAAGTTAATTTCACTCCAATGTTGGGATGCAACAAGACAAATATAAGAAATCCATATTGAAAATTCATATTAGAAGAGCTCTTATAGGAAATAGGCAACCAACAATACATTTTTATAGATTTTATTTTTGTCTAAATATGAAATAATGCACAAATAACAGACTTTCCTCCATTTTAATGCAGATTTTCTATAAAATGGACTTTGAAACTCAAATTACTTTTCGATGTAAGGGAATTTGTAATCTACGTTGCATCTTGTGCAGAAGCGACAAATTTCTTTACAACAGTCCCAAAAGTAACGCAAAAAATTCGTATTTTATTTTGTGTTTGTTTTCACAAAAATGCTAAAACACGTCAATTAGTGAATAGGAATTGTCGTTTTGTCACGTTGCTTAAATCTTTTTTACGCTATGTTTTATAAACCTATGACGTCATCGACATTTTTTTTAAATAGCACTACCTAAATTTTTAAGCATAAGCCCTTTTGAAAGGAAATGCGTCGATATAGGGTTTGGTCTACTTTACTTTGACAGGTGCGAAAAAAGCCAACGATTGGAATGGACATAGTTTAAAACAAGAACATTTAAATGTCCTTGGTTTAAAATAACAACAAAAGTAGGTATCACAAACTGATGCGAGAACAGTGCCACATCAAAAAATGTGTTTTGGTTGATTGTAGGTACAGAATTTTATGTAGATTGGGTAGGTTCACCCGATCACAGCAGCTAGACATTGTTTTGAAGGCGACAATTAGAGAATGCAATAGTGCCTCATATCATTGTGACAGTTACAAATACCATAACTTTACATTACGATGGTGTTGCGTTTAAGCGAGACACAAAGAATTGAAATCCTAATTATGGTTGGATACGGAGATAGGATCTGTAGTTATGAAGTACGTCAATTGTTCAATGCCAAGTAACCAGAACAACCAATACCTCCGTCTACAGAATGCAGATTAGTACGCAAATTTGAAGATGCTGAACATGTTAGAGATCTGTCTATACTCTGCGGTCGAAATTATAGATAGTGATTCAGACATAATATAAAAACACTATTACCATAATGCGTATAAAATATAAAATGATTTTTATATGGTTCAATATTATTTATCTTTGTGCCGCTCGTTACGCACATTGACAGAATCTATAATCGTCTATAGACTGAGTTACACTGAATGTCGATCTATATTCTATCTCTGTCTTTTGCACTTGGTAGGGAATAGGGAAATTCTTTTTTAGTGGGTGTAAACGGACTTGATTTATCCGTCCTGAGAAACGTCATAGCAAAAGCGTATACGAGAGGTCTAATTCCATGGCTATAATAAACTTATAAATTAAAAAAACACAACTGGAACGTTTTAAAATGCTGTAATAATTAAAATGGATCAAAGTACCGGTTATAGCAAACCGTAAAAAAATATTAGATGTTATGTTTTATTATCTTTTTTCAATATTTTCTATATCTTGTTGCCTTTTACGTAGACACGCCAATGAATTTTCGTTCCCGGCACGCTTCATCCCCCTTACTAGTCCAAAAGCTAGCGATGAGTCACTCTATAATTTCGACCGCAAAAAAGGTTTAAGCAACGAGACAAAATGACAATTCCTATTTACTAATTGACGTGTTTTAGCGTTTTTGTGAAAACGCAACACAAAATAAAATACGAATTTTTTGCGTTACTTCTGGGACACGCTGTATAAAATATTTCACGTTTCTTAATTTTATAGCAATTATATCATGTAGGGCACAAATTCACAGGTCCTTCGTGATTATGCTCATTTATTTCTGAAAATAATCGAAGGAGGAATTAAGAAAAATGACAGTGTATTGAATTACCAACTTCTCGTCTACGTTAACGTCTATTTAGAAAAACTATAATCTTATTCACCTCCAATTACAAGGCAAAATATGTAAAATCGAAAAAGGCAAGCTTTCAGACATTATAACTCTTAAAATTTTAACAAAAATATTTGATAGGGTGCTCAGAAAAATGTTTGAACAAAAAATTATAAAGAACTTAAATAAATTTTTATTCTAATGTTAATTTGCTGTTAGATCTTATGCCGAGGCCGAAACCTGTCAGAATCGTTATCATCGAGGGACATTTCTACAATAGCTGGTAAATCTAGCCCTAAATCAAAATTTTGTATGAGTAACGTAATTTAAAGACATTTTAAAAAATTATATATTTAAACCATAGTTGTAGGCAAACAAAAGTTGAAGGGTCAATAGGTACTAAGACCTCCTTTTCCTCTAGTCACACTTCTGTCTTTTTGACAAAAATTGTACAAAAAATGTGCGCTTAAGGTAAAACTGTGCAAAAGGTTATTAAAAAACAAAACAGTTATTAATACAAATCTTTTTTTTTTTCTAATTGTAATCTGCATCTCTAAAAAGTGTTTAAACGAAAATATAAAAAAAATAAACTTACATGTAAACGATTTTTGTTGCGGAATAATCTAAATTCGTTTGGAGTTGGATTTCCGAGAATGGAGCCATTAACAGGGACCTCCCGGGAAATTCGGGAGCGACTAGACTGAATTCCGTGATCGTCTCGATATCTATATACGACGATAACATTACAGTATCGACATTTAACTTGTTAGCCGCGCGACCTGGCACTGTCGCATTGATGTATAACCGAGTTTTTCCAGGTTGCAAGGCGAACACCTTGAGAGCTACCCTCGCCGGTCTCTGTTTAAAAACGCCTATGGGATGAAATACTCCACTCAAATCAACGAGAAGTTTGTCGTCGACGTTCCACTTGAAAAGGATGGGGGGATTCTCTAGACTGCCCAGAATTAGGGGAGATACGTCGGGGATTCCCCAGCACCAAAAGGGTACGGTGGCCCCGACCCTAAATCTCGTTAGGGGCCCCATAATTTTTAAGCCCTGCAGTTCCACAACCTTCAGATCAACCACATCCTTAAAAAGAATTAAAATTTCAGTTTTTTTTTTAAATATTACATGGTATATGACAAATAATAGTCATCAACCTTTTATTAGTAATTTTTGAATTTGTGTATCAAAATATAAATAAAAAGTAGGCAATGCGGCACTAGAATTTTTTTATGCTTTCTAATTTCATTGGCTGCGCCCATCAAAGCGAATAATGTTGTTTTGAATTTTTAAACCTTGTGATTTTTAAAGTACTTTCTGGTCACCAAAAAAATTGTTAAAAAAAAAACTGTAGCCTATTTTTTCCGGTACTATTAAATAAGCAAATGAAAAAATGTGTGGGACTTGCCCAATATTCTTACTTCTGAATAAATTAGGCTTTGTCCTGTCGATGGATGTATTCCAACGGCCTTGGCTTGAATTTTCGTTGTGCCTAATGCAACCCCTGTTATGACACCCCTTTCGGTTATATCTACGAATAAAAAGAATTTACTTAGCAATTTTATTGTCAAATTTATTAGCTGAATATGATATTCATTTTACTTTCAGTTTGTGAGTTAATAAATTTATGTTAACCGTGGATTAGAACTTACTGATGATTTTGGGCGAAGTTGCTGTAAAGACTACGTTAGTGTTTGGTTGTGGTCCGCCTTTTATGGACAACTGAAAGATAGCTCCTACGAGGATGGTTCCATTTCTGGGATGTATTTTGAGGGGGTAAAACACTTGCAAATCGAACGGAGCACTGTTGATGTCTTCGTCACCTCCACTTACCGTAAATACTAGTTTCGTGTCCCCCACCTCTATTCCTAAAAAGTTTAGAACAAAAATGTATTTTCCGATATAGTTTTAGCCAACAAAAAATATCTCGGATGATGAAATAATAGATGTAAATTGACATTTGATATTCTTTCAAAAAAAAACTTTAAAAAAGGTAGCTTCCCTGGGCAATTTTGTTCCTTAAAAAGTTACGGGCCTTAAAAAAATTGTTGTTCTTTAAATTTTCTTGAGATAATTCAATCACTTTTTAAGATATTAACATAGGTTTATTTTTCAGTTAAAACATGGTCATCAGTTACCTATAATAAGTAGTCTTTTATTTTTTTGTTAGTAGAGATTTTGAAAAAATGCAAGTGTTTTATGTAATGTCACTTTATTTACTGTAAAAAAAGTACACTTGTCACATGCATCAAAAAGAGTCTTATTGTATGGTTTTAGTTGTCATAATAATACAATGATAAAAATATAAAAAGTTATAAAGGTAATCTCAATGAAATAAAAATAAGTATTCTATATTCATCTTCGTCTATCGAGTCTTTTATTTAATTTATTTTTAATTTCTTTTCACAGGTAACAAAATACCCAATGAACAAGAAATTGTTTATTTATCATTATGTATAATTCAAAAATTTATATTTTGCTCTAAGAAAATCATTTACTGTGTTAATAAATCATAATCATTTTAAATTTATTCATTGTTATCATGAAAAACCATATGCAAAAAACATATCTTTTCTAGAAATGTTCAACGTAATAATGCGGAGGTTCTTCTTTCTTCTTGAAAATATTATGCAACTGTTTTTTAGTATTCAAGTGAATTACAGAAAAAAATGTAAAAATTACATATTTAATGTAACTTCATTTGTACAGGGTGTCCCAAAATTCATGCAACAAAATTTGGTCACAGATTCTTAAGACAAATCTAGGGGACCCAAATTTTTTATTTTTGCCAAGTGGCCCCCTCTTTCGGAGTTACAGCCCCCTGAAGGCCGCCCCTAAGAACAACCTTTTTTTATATCTCAGAACCCTGTTGTACGAGAATCACTAAATTTGGTACACAGGGGTTTTATGACATGTGGAATCTGATGGTGCTACCNCATATGCTCTTGTTACGCATTGTTTCTACTCAGTTAATGAGTTTTTAAAATTTTCTGATATGCATACATTATGGTCTTATCGCTCCTTCTTAGACTAAGATGTTTATATAATCTCTCTCGTTTGTGTTCTATTGCTTGTAATATTTATTGTGATATGTTTTTTATTAATTTATTTTTTTCGTGTATATCTATACATTTTTTGTTTTTGTATATGACTTGTCATAAAGATTGTATGCAATTTAACATGGTCAATAAACACTAAACTAAACTAAACTAAACTATGCAAAAAACATATCTTTTCTAGAAATGTTCAACGTAATAATGCGGAGGTTCTTCTTTCTTCTTGAAAATACTATGCAACTGTTTTTTAGTATTGTAAATATACATATGTCGAAATGTAAATTGACATTTCAAGTGAATTACAGAAAAAAATGTAAAAATTACATATTTAATGTAACTTCATTTGTACAGGGTGTCCCAAAATTCATGCAACAAAATTGGGTCACAGATTCTTAAGACAAATCTAGGGGACCCAAATTTTTTATTTTTGCTAAGTGGCCCCCTCTTTCGGAGTTACAGCCCCCTGAAGGCCGCCCCTAAGAACAACCTTTTTTTATATCTCAGAACCCTGTTGTACGAGAATCACTAAATTTGGTACACAGGGGTTTTATGACATGTGGAATCTGATGGTGCTACCTTTTTTGGCGGGAAACATCCTTAAGACAATTTTTCGTGGGTCCCTGTCTTTGGAGCCAAAAAAATTTGGTCGCATATTTAAATTTCTTAAAAATTATCAGTCCACTAGAAAGCCGTTAAATTTAGAAACTTTTTTCTCTTAATACTTTTTCGTAAAACGCAATGTTTTCGAGAAAAATATTAAAATGTGATCGAATGCATATCGTGATTCGCGATTTTCCTCAAAAACATTGCGTTTTACGAAACAAATATCAAGAAACAAAAAAAGTTCTAAATTCAATGGCTTTCTAGACAACAAAAAATTTTTAAAAAAATCTAATTTGCGACCAAATTTTTCTGGTTCCAAAGACAAGGACAAACATGGTTTTGAGATATAAAAAAGACTTCTTAGGGGCAGATTTCAGGGGGCTGTAACTCCGAAAGAGGGGGCCAGTTGGCAAAAACAAAAAATACGGGTCCCCTAAATTTGTCTTAAGAATCTATGACCAAATTTTTGTTGCATGAATTTGATTTGATGAGTAATTTTACATAAAGTGAATTTTTAAATAACAGTGGTTCGGTTAGCTTATTTATTTGTGTAATAATTAATATATATTTTTTAGTCTTTAGTTTTCTTTTATTTGTATTTATTGGGATTATTTGTTGTTAAGGTTGCCAACTAGAGATGTGTCGTTCAGAAATGAGAAAGGATTCAATACTTTTCTGAATCATTGGCTCGGGGAAATGGATAACCAATTTTGTTTTGATGGAGCTATTTTATCTCGATCTTGACGTAATTCATCAAAAAAATAATAATTAAAAAATTTGTTGGACAGACATTACTATCGAAACAAACTTGAAGATTCAAAGAGCTGGTTCCTAATGAAAGAATATTTTTAAAGAAATGAACGAATTGAATCGATTCACTAACGACCTTCCTATCTCTATTGCTAACCCTCCCACTTTAGGTGACTCCCACATTATATCTCTCGTCTCACACACCACTCCAAACTCCTGCTCTTGTTTACTGAACTGATTTATCAAGCAATATTGCAACAGAATGTAAAAGAGACAGAAGGCAGAGGAATTTATTTTGGTCTCTAAAATGAGCACGCAAAAAAATATTTAAACAAAGGAGCATATACAGGGTATATCTAAATAACCGAAAAAATATAAGGGGTGATTCACTGATGAAAATTAATAGGGGTCTTTGGTACAAAACTTTTTGAAAAAACTCCCCTGAAAAGTTACCCCATACCAAAAATGAAAAAAAATGATCTATTTTTATCTTCCATGTATATCAAGCTAAATAAACCAAACTTGATGAACATTATCTGTCAAAAAAACTACCATTTATACAAATTTTGTCAGCTCTGAAGTATTTTTGTAAGGGGTTGAAATAATTACACTTTTTCTTATAATTTTTTTTCGATAAAATTTTTTCCTTTTAAAAAATATGTCTAAAAAGCCCTTCATTTCCTAACTTTTTGATCTCTTCAGTTTTTTCGAAAAGTTAAAGATTTAGAGAAAAAAAAAATAAATGTATTGCAATGCATTTTTAAAAAGATGAGCTGTTTAACGTGAGTGTTTTGACAAATTTTGTAAATGACATTGACATTTGTTTCTATGGATTCCGCTGCAAAGAACAGGCCACTAGATCTTTCGGCAAAATACACTCGCGTTAAACAGTTGCTCATCTTTTTAAAAATGCTTTGTAATAAATTTATTCTTTTTCTTGGAACCTTGAATGCCATTTATTTATTTTTGTTCAAGAATGTACATACAGGGTGCACAAAAAAGTTTTAGCCATGTTAATGGACCAATGTTGCTGTAGGTGCCGTCATCTTGTGGCAATGGTGAAATTGATAACATTTTCGTAATAAAACGATACCAAATTTTATTGAAATCCGTTCGATATTTAAAAAAATAATTTTGATGAAGGTTAATGAAACACCCAGCAGAACTAAAATGAGTAACATTTTGCTTTAGCCTTAGGCTAAGGCCTAAATGCTTTATTTTGATGTTAGCTATCGCCCATTAACTAATGTCCAATTAATTACGGGACACTCTGTATTTATACAGGGTGTTCTATGTTGAAAAAGATTACGTTTTCTTTATATAAACGTGTGTCCAAAAATTCTTCCTAAGAAAGTTATAGCCACTTAAAGGGGCTACTCTGATGATGTTTTTTTTTCTAAATAACTCCAAAATAAGTTGAGATAAATTTATGAAATTTGGTAACTAGCTTATCTCTTACGTGCTCAGTCCGCTACTAAAATGAAATTTAAAAATTTTCATCACATACGTTCTAACACTGTGGGGGAAGGGGGTAAAATTTACCATAACTTTTTTATGCTTTGACTTTTTTTATTATATTGGTAGAATGTTCCATTTTTATGTAAAATCCGTTTAAAAATAATGTTAAGTACATGTGTTAACCACCGGCAATCCAAATTGTCAATACATATTTTCTATCATAGCGGGTTGTGAAACAAAAACGTGTTTGGCGTCATTTGCATTGACAGTTCAATTAATTACTTTTTAGGAATTGTTATTTTCACAGAAATGTATTATTTTTAGTAAATTATTATTTGACAAAGTAAAAAAAACAATTGAAATTATTAAATAGAAATACAATAAACTAATAAAAATAATTGAAAACCACACTATTAATAAAACTTATTTTTATCTCAGTAATTTTTATAGCAAATGCTCAAAAATTTTCATTTTGCTGAATACATTTTTCAGCTCGGCATCAAATTGCTCGCGAAGACCTCAAAACTTATTATTAAAATTATTTTTTTCTGATTTGATTCGCATCCTCTGTTGTAATCTAAAGGATTTATTTCTGTAGCTTAAACTACAGCCTTCATCCTACCCTCACAGAAAGTAATCTAGAGGATTTAGGTGTAGAAATTGAATGGGGCCAACTCTACCTATCCACCTGCCAGGATAATGATCGTTTAACCAATTTATGACATTATGGGTAAAGTGAGGCAGTGCTACATCTTGTTTAATTAATTAAGCGTACGTTTAACGGTGTATCACCCAATAGTTTTATTACATCATTTTGCAAAAAGCTTAAGTATCCTTATGCATTTAGACAAACGGAAAACTGAATTGATCCAAGTAGCTGGTCCCCTAAAATTCCTATCCACACATTTATTGCAAATCTATTTTGAAAATTTGTGCACCGTATTGCCCGTAGATTTTCGTCTGACCAGAAATGGGTATTATGAATATCTGCTAGCTCTACC